CTCACAGGCACTAGACAACTTTTTAAAGAAGGAATCCACACCACTCCCACCAAGCTTACGACAATCTAAGAAGACACTATCACACCTTTCCCTTACAATAATCTTCTGTATTTCCTCCTTTCTCCTTCTCCTTTCAACAGGATTACTTATCTCATCCTTATGACTGACTATTACAATAACATGGCATTGATTAAGAACTTTCTGTGCTTGATTTCTGACAACTGTTAGCCACTGATGAAGCTGTTTGACTGGTTCCTTCTCCAGTATATTGACTACTATCAGGAACACACCACCAGAACCTTGTAAGAGATTCTCAATGACAGCACTGTGACTGGAGTAGTATTCGGAATGACCAGCAAAGTCATGAAGAATGATATTACCCAGTGTCCTATGTTGTAGTTTATAAGGAATGATGCCAGCAGTACAGGGCACTACTCCTCCAACATTTCTAAAGGAACCAAGAACAATAGAACCAGTAGCTGTGTCATTGATGACATGACTAAGAGTACTTTTACCAGCTCCAGGATTACCCACAAGGAGAACGTTAACATAAGAATCAATTGGATGAAATGATTTTATACCACCAAACTTCTTTAAGACCGAAAGAGTATCAGTGTCACATTTCTCCTTAGCTATTTGAAATGTTGTGTCCCCATACTTGTCTTTAGCCAATGGATCACATTTACCAGTTGATAGTAAATATTCAACAACTCCAGAACATTTATAAGCAGCAGCATGGTGAAGAGTAGTCCGTCCCAACAGATTGTCAGTAGCCATTGGATCACAGTGACAGTCATTAATGAGATACTTTACAATATCAATGTGTCCAGCAGCACAGTGAAGAACAGTCTCACCCCTATTGTTAGTAGCCATTGGATCACAGTGACAGTCATTAATGAGATACTTTACAATATCAATGTGTCCAGCAGCACAGTGAAGAACAGTCTCACCCCAATTATTAGTAGCCATTGGATCACAGTGATAATGATTCATCAAGTATTTCACGATATCAAGTGATCCATTATCACCTACACTGTGAAGAACAGAATATCCATGCTGATCAGTAGCCATTGGATCACAGTGATACTCATCAATGAGATATCTCATCACATCAACATGATTACGTAGTGCAGCATAATGAAGACAAGTCCTATTTATACCATCTCTTTTCTGTGGATCACAGTGATATTTAGTGATGAGATCTTTTGTAACATCTAACCAGCCATGCCTTGAAGACAAATGAAGTAAACTAGTTTCTATTCTTTTAATTTTATTTGGTTCCTTCACTAATGGTAGTAAGTGAACTGCTTCTTTATGATCTCCGTAATCAAACACAGTCCAACACTTGTCTTCTAACGACATCTTGTGATCAGTTAATTAGATTCATTGATACTCGCCCACACATCAGGAATTTAATACACTAAACACACATACCATAACTGAGAGAGACGGAGAGAATGTTTTTGCCAAGAATTGGCTGTAAAATAATTTCTCGATTTATATATCAATGTCCTTTTGATATTTTTTGAACTGACTCTGAGCACACATGTAATAATAGTATTAACCATACAGTTGGAGTTTGGCAAGGAAACAATATTGGCAGATCAGCAGTTGTAGTTATCATTCACTAATATATAATCCACTCCATTTTGTTTTATTCTTCACATGCTCAATGACTCATGGCTGCTAATTCCTAAATCACCATTATATAAACCCACCTATAGGGCCTGTACTTAACTGCTCTCATATTCATATCACAATAATAATAATAAAATCTCCTCAAATCTCATACTCCACTCCACCTTACTATTGCTTTATATGAGGACTGCATCTGTACTACTGTATAGCTTGAAAATTTTGGAGTGTCAAAATTAGGTGAATGGACTCTAAAAGAGGTTTAGGTTTAAAATTCTGGCAAATTTTAACCATGTGTATGCTGCTGCAGAGCCTTATCAAATTGGAGATTAAATTTTTGATGAATTGACCTCAATTCACCGAATTCACTAAAATTTTAGTCTGTCAAATTTTATAGCTATGCAGCAGTAGTAGTAATAATAATAATAATAATAATAAAACAGTGTACTCTCATTCAAGACCTACATGTACATGTAGTCATACTACTAATGTATCTCTTTTATTCTCCTGATCTACTATATAGCTGGATAAAATGGTGGAATTAATATTAAAATAATTAATATAAAATTCACCATTTTGCTTTATTCTTTGAATGCTCAATGGCACATGGCTGCTAATTTGCCAATATAAAAACCAGCAATACATTGCAATCATAGAATCACTAATATTAAGATGCACCAAATATTCCCACTATATGGTACATCCACTAGTGTATAGTATCATGCCGTATAGCGGGAAATTTTCGAGGATAACAATTTTCACGAATTTCATGGATTTTTTCATGATTCGCGAAATTAAATTCCTTGAAAATCAATTTAATATGGTACAAGATGGCAGATTAGTGGAAATTCGTGAAAATTAATTCCTTAAACTTCCAGATACGGGTCATTCTCGAAATTTATTGTCCTCAAAAAAAACCTGCTATACGGTAGAACTAATGGAGAGAAGAGAATGGGAACAGATCATGTTTTGGAACAGTAATTGGAATACAATAGCATGAAATATTTATAACAATTGATAATGATATTCAGTGTTATTGGTATGCTCCCATGAACTATATTCATGAAGTGATACCACACACATTATACTGATACACCCATCCTTTATATACTGCTGCATTGTTCCTTGGTTTAGCTTGTGAAGGTTACTGACTTTGAATAGGCTCTTCCCTTCTTCCTTTAAAACAGTCCTGTTTGTCCTCCATACTATAGTACAAGATGATTGATGTCTCTCAATGGAGAGCAAGTATTGGACTGTGGAAATACTGTCAAGCTGCCTCCAGTAGACCAGTTAATGGCAACCACTCTCATTTATTCAAAGCTGCAGTAGATAGCAAGTCAGGCAGTACTACATTAAGAGAGGAGACATCTAAACTGCCAGCAGCTCTGTCTCTTATTGCTTTCTTTTTCCTCTATCACTCTTTCTCTTTATTTCGACACACCTTGATCATTCCCCTAGCAATTGCAACTTGTACTTACTGGACAGGTATTTTATTATTAGGAAACTGCTACCAAGTTCAATGCACTACTGGTGTTACTGTTAGATCTACTGATACAAATGACCTCCTGTCAGTAGTTTTACCTGGAGGCAGGAATTCTAACCTGATTTACAATCATCTCTATTTGATTGTTTGTTTACATATGCTCCTCCTCTTATCAGGAGATGTTGAACTCAATCCTGGTCCTAAGATTGATGATCGACCTGATATTTCATTGCTAACCCAATGGCTTGAACCACTTGTTGACTGGCAGTTGTTTGGTTATTGCTTACCTGGAATAACGCAACATGATGTATCAATAATTGAAACTGAGAATTTCAGTGTGAATGACCAAAAGAGAAAGCTATATTCAAAATGGCTTTCTGTTTCTCCTGAGGCAACTTGGAATGATGTCATTACTGCACTGACAATTAGAAGAGAAAATACACTTGCACAAAATATCAAAAAAATGTTTGATGGTCATCTCTCTGTACCCACTAATGTTGTTAATGCAGCTGCTGTGAGTACTCCTCAAAGAAAAGAAATAATGTTCAACACAAAAGAAGATGAAGAAGAAGTGTCACATTCATTGACAGAGCTCAACAAATCATTTACTAGTTTAATGACAAAAGTACGAACAGCATTTGATGAGAAAGTAGGCTCAGATCCTAAGCTACTCATTAAGTTAACAAGATGGATTGAGACATACATGAACTGGACTGATAAACTAACTAATGCTTCGTTAGATGAAATTTTTAATATTATTCATCCATACTATGACTTTATTGACTGCAGCTTAATAGTAGATTTAAGTGAAGAGTTTCTGATTGGTGTTACTTTTGGTGATAAAGAAAAGCTGAATATTGTGAGTGAACTACAAAGTCACAAGAAAAAGGCCGACACTTTTAGATTTTCAAGTAACGTGGCGCATCTTCACAAATCATTAATGGAGATATATCAGGAGCATATTCCAGATCTAAGTAACATGCCTCATATTATAATAAAGCTTCATAATCCATGGTATGGTAATTGTCTTAACAGTTTAGCTCTTCTAATTAAACATTTGCTACCAGTAGGATTAGTACAATCGTTGTTTAATCATATAACAATTCTTAGAGGATCTGTGGTAATCAAGTACACAGTACTTGATTCCACAGCTGCTAGTCTAATAGAATATACTGTAGGAAAGTTACAGTTTATGCATCTCATTGGTATATTTAGTTTATATGTTAATGATCATGCTGTCCTTCAAGAAGATGAGAATATGAACTTCACCTTTGAGCTAGCTCTCCTTGAGGCAGTCACAGCTGGTAATAATGAAGCAGTAGAGTTTCTTCTTCAACTAGAAACTGTTAATATTGATCATACTAATGAAGAAGGCAAGACAGCACTAATGTTAGCTTGTGAAAGAGGGCATGAGGACATTGTACGTAGTTTACTGTTAGCTGGCGCTAATGTTAACATTCAGGACAATAATGGATGGACTGCACTAATGATATCAAGTGAACATAATCAAGTTTTGGTTATTTGCATGTTGCTACAAGCTAATGCTAATCCTCACCTGAAGACACTGAAAGGATCACATGCTTTAATGATTGCTAGTTACTATGGTAACTATGAAGTTTTTGAACTATTGATTAGTAAAGGGGTAGATTATAATTATCAAAGAGAAGATGGAGTGAATGCTCTTATGTTGGCTTGTCAAAATGGTCATACTCAAATAGTTGAACTGCTGTTGAAGGAGCAAGTTGATCTTAATGTTCAAAACAAAGATGGAGTGAATGCTTTTATGTTATCTTGTCAAAATGGTCACACTCAAATAGTTGAACTGTTGCTAAAGGAACAAGTTGATCCTTATGTTCAAAATAAAAATGGAGTGAATGCTTTTATGTTTGCTTGCAAGAATGGTCACACTCAAATAGTTGAACTGATGCTGAAGAACCAAATTGATCCTAATGTTCAGAAGAATAATGGTTGGAATGCCCTTATGTCGGCTTGTAAAAATGGTCACACTCAGATAGTTGAACTGTTACTGAAGGAACAAATTGATCCTAATATTCAGAAAAATGATGGTTGGAATGCTTTAATGCTTGCCAGTGCTAAAGGACATTATGAAGTAGTTAAATTATTATTAGAATGGAAAGCTGATCCAACTATTAAATCTAATGAAGGCAAGACTGCATTGAAGTTTGCAAAAACTATGGAAATATCTGTATTACTTAATAGTTACTTAAGAGAGCACATAGAACAAGAAGATGATGCTGCTAGTGCTTCATTTACCAGTAGATCTAGTATAAAGAGTGCTTCTTCCACTTTGAGTTTACTCAGTTTAGATATGTGTAATGTTAGTGGTAACAAAGGTTATATGTATTAATTTTAAGTGTATCTAATTGTAATTTTTTAAAATTTTTTGTAGCATAAAATGCGTAAAAAATTCTGCATAGCGTGCACTGAAAAGATGCAAGTAGTGTACAAAATATTAGGTAAAGGGAGCTGACATAAAGGGATTCGTATTCAGCTGCTCTGTGAAGAACTGTGTGTCCATGCTTATAGAGCTGCATGTTGGCCAGATGTAATCAATGGGGGGAGGAGCATGATGCAAGGTTTGTTACATTTCTGAGGAAGTGGTCCTGACATGATTTTTACATGAACAAAGTTTTTACATGAAATTCACAAAAATGCATTTACATAAATGCTCTATATATGAAAAATACATCAAAAATATCCTCAAAGTCTGGTCTTTCATCATCATTATATTTCCAACAGTTTATCATAAGTTGCTGAAAAGGTTCAGGACAATATGAACCTATGGGCATATGATAACCTTTTGATATTGCTTCAACTACTTGTGATTTCATCATGCCATGGTATGGTAGAGCTCCTTTTGTAACCAGTTCCCATAGTAATATGCCAAATGACCAAACGTCAGATTTAATACTCAGTTGGTTTAAAGTATGCCATTCAGGTGCTGTCCATCTTATAGCTAGCTTACTTCCTTCCTCAACAGTCCAGTATTTGTTGCCACTAAGGTGTTGAGCAAGATGAAAGTTTGCTATCTTGATAGTGTTACACTCTCCTACTAGTATTTTGGTAGCTTGTAGATCACAATGAATGTAATCATGTTCTCCCAAGTAAATCATGCCATAAGCAACTTGAATAGTAATGTACAATAACTCTTTTGGTCTAACATTATATCTAGTGACATATGTTTTAAGGTTTCCATAATTCATTAGCTCTGTTACTATGTAAAAAGGATATGTTGCAGTACAAACACCATATAAACGAATGATGTTTTATGGTGAATCTTTCTCAAAGTATTGGCCTCTTCAAGAAATGTTTCTTGTATTATATTTGTTGCTACATTAGTCTTGATAATAACTGCTAATTTATAGGAAGGAATTGAATTCCAACAGCCCTCCCATGTTTCTCCAAACTGTCCAACATTTATGCATTTTAAAAACTTAATTTGTGACTTATTAATTTCCTCCTTTGCATTTGGTGTGTTTACTTGTTTGGGTAGAGGAATTGTTATTGAGCAGGTCAGGTAATCCTCTTTCATCATGTAGTGGTGTACCAGTTCATTAAGTGAGTAAAACTTTACATGAGGGAGTATATAGTACTTATTGATGTCGATGCTTATATGGTAGTGCCTGATAGTGACTCCATCATTAACTGAGAGGATATAGTGCTGCCCAAGATTGCTGTCACTGTCTCTGATTAGAAAAGTACCTGCTTGAGTGTCTGCTTGACTCAGTCTCTTCTCTGCTTCATAACGACTCACTATATGATAATAGACACACTTGTAGTACCTATTAAATAAACGAATAAATTTATTAATCAAATGCTATAATATGGTGAAAAATCACTTTAAATTCCTTACATTGGTGAGTATTTCTCATTAAGTGGTAATATGCCATTAGATAGTACATAGCCTCTTTTGTTTGTGTGAAGGGAGTGCATATACCACCAGCCATCAGCAATGTCATTATTTTTTAAAGCTTTAAGTACTTCTCCTATTAAAGAAAGTGATATAACATGCTTTCCACAATTGAGCTATTAAATCTCTCATTTGTTATAGGCATTGTTTCTTTGTTGCTGACAGCATACCTTTTTTAGAAGCTAAACCATCCTTTTGTAAAGTTTGTAAATTGTTTCTAGCTGCAAACACTTTATGTAAGGAAGTAATAATAAGGACATAGCCATAATGCACATTTTTTATTTACATTTTTGTTTTGAGATCCAGTTTCTTAATGTGTGTACTAGAGTAGGATCATCAGTAATTTTTCGTATAAAATACTCTGCTTTCTCATTATCATTAAGGAGAACAGGTAGGAGTAATAATCCTTCCCATGTCATTGCAAAATGAAACAACTGAGGTAGCTCTACCATTGAGTAATTTCTGTGTATCATGGAAACAGTTTCCTTTTGTTCTACAGCATCTAGTGATTGCACCTCATCCCCATATGTACTTAGCGGAATGAATCCATTATTTTGAAATGAAATAGCTGTATTATTAGAATCATCTTGAGGTACACAAATGAATTCACTGGATAATAATATTATTGTCTGTGTGGATATCTCTATTTCTGTTGATGTCTGATAAAAGAATTTTGTAATAATAGAATTACTTACTGTCAGTTTCCTCTTTTAACAACTGCTGTGCACTTAACAAAGATATCCTTTTCTTTAGTGTATCAGCCTCTTGCTTTCTGTCTTGTACTAGACCTGTTACGAAGTACAGTTATCATTGAAAGTTATATATTGAATAATTAAGGCTGTATACTTATTTTTCTAGCCCTAGATTGAAAATGTTTAATTTCTTGTCATAGCATTCACTTCTTTGTACTTGCAGCTTTCTCTCTTTTAATTTGATTGACTTTAAGACCTATTACATATAATATTGCATGGTGCTTAATATTGTGCCATAATTCATGCCTGCATGGTGCAATTGATGACTTGTATATTTCTATATGTCCTAGTTTCTGTTTTGATGAAAAAGTTTTGCTGCTTGATTATGAAGGAGACCTGCATACATTTATTTAGTAGTAATTCCATTTATTTTGTACTTTCTTTGTCTTTGTTGTATGGACACAGCTTTTAAAATTCTCCTTCACACATTTCAATCTCAGTAACAATCTTTAGTTCCTATTTAGTTGTATAATTTTTCAAAATACATTTATTATAGGTTAATACTTCATTTGTGATCATTCTGTACATGTATGTAAACAAATTAGGCTTACTGATACTGGTTTCCATTCTACATGTATGGATAGTAATCAGCAGTCTTCAAACTACTTTTCAGCTGCTAACTTAGCCATGTGCTTTATATGTCATTCGTCACTTGACAGAGAGAGACAGACAGACAAGCATACAGAGCAGAGTGAGAGAAAGAAACAGATTAGAGTAAATGTAGATGAAGTTGATACTGATGATAATTTTTTCGATTAATAATGTTTCAACTTCTTTAGAAATCATCATCAGTTCATCACAATTATTAATATTGTTATTATTATTTAATTATGATGACATTTATGCATGTAATTGTAATTATAATTATTCCTATTCAACTTGGCCAAAAATTAGAAAGTCATAAAACTTAAAGCAATGCATGAAATGAATTTTTAAACAATTTTTGGGCCACAAAATATTATGCTGTACAGTTGCACAGTGTGCATTGTGACTATATTAAGATTTTGTCTTTTTATTTGTACTTTTTATTTTACACTTGCAGAATGCTTGTGCTGTATAACATCAATCAAGAAGTAATGGGAAGATGCTTCAAGCTTATTCGCCAAGCAACAAACCTAGCAATGAGCACTATATCAACTACTGATTTATTAAATTATGGTTAGTCAACATTTAATCCATTCTATCAGTTTTCATTGTAGTCAAGGTATTGCACTAATCTTGGTCTTTCATTACCAGTTTAGAAAACAGCTAGCTTCATTATACAAAAAACTGTTGAGTAATGAGCTTGATCTTGCTCCAAGGTATGTACACAATACTGAATGTTTATGTCGTACTCTAAATTGTATACATTGGTGACTGATTGGGATAGAATATTTCATAAAGCAAGCATGATTCTTTTATTGCCTCCTTATGTAATCTATCATGAAAAGTTATGTGTATATTCATAATATTCATCACAAGTTTGGTATTTATGTAGCTGTTTTCATATCTAGATTTTGATGACCTTTTAGTTGATTTAATATCAGGACTACTTTTGAAGGATTTAAATGAGGAATTGTACATGAGAATCACTTTGAGACTACTAAAAGAATTCTTGTCACAATGGCTCCTGAAACAT